ACCAGGCGGCTCTGCACCTTGGGCTGGAAGCCTGGGAGACGCAGGGAGGTGAGGCCCAGGCACCGCGCCCACAGGCCTGGGGCCGGGACCCCAGCTTCCTGACGCGCCTCTGCACAGCCTTCCCTCCAGGGTGCCCTCCCGGCGTGCCCCCCAGCTCTGTCCTGGCCTCCGCAGCTTGGTGCTTGCGGTAGGAAGTTGCCAGTGAGTGCCAGTAGGCGTTTGCCGGAGCCAGGTGGCACCCTGGGGCCACTGGCCTCTCAGAAGCACCCTCATTCTCCTGCAGCCCCGCAGGAAGAGGCAGGCTTTTCAGAGGGGGAAACTGAGGCTCGGCTTGGGGCAGACTGCTCTGAGCCCTGGTGCTTTGGGCAGGAAACCCCAGGATGTCGCAGTCCAGGCCCAAGCCCTGGGGGGCCGGTGCCAGTGAGCCGCTGGTTCAGCAGGGTGTGGGCGTGGAGCTGGTGTCCCAAGCGGGGAGGCCACTGAGCTCGGTTCAGAGCGGTTATGGTCACCAGGTCTGGCTGGTTGGCATGGCGGCAGCGCCTCCAAAGCCCCCATGAGTCTCAGGTGGAAGACTCGTCACAGGCCAGACCCAGGTGCTCGGGGGGGACAGTGCCGGGCCGGAGCTGGGCCTCCTGGACTGCAGGAATCAGCCTCACAGACAGATACGGTTCAGGACTCTGCATTTCTAACTCCTCCCAGGTGCTCTGCTGTGGGCATGGCAGGCTCCAGACCACCGTGGGATGCGGTGTGGAGCAGGACGCAGGCCCCTCCTGCCTCGTACTGCGGGGCAGCTGCACCTGAGCTGCACCCAGAGGCCGCAGAGAGGGGTGTGAGCTTTGCCAGGGCACTGAGGACGGGGCAGCCCTCTCTGCCTTGCTTTCGCCCGTGGTGGTCTTGGTTTTGCCACTGTCCTGGTGACTCTTCGGCCCTGAAGTCCCCCCTCCCAGCTCAGCCACACCAGCGCCAGCCTCCTCTTGCCAGCTGCTGTCTGGCCACTCTGACTGCCCAACCGGCTGACCCGGCTCCCGCTCCCTCTGTTGGAGGGACGCTCTGCCCTCGGTGCCCCTGCCAGCTGTGTCCTTGGCCCACCACACTGATGGGGTTTCTGGGCACACTTGGGCCCCACTCACCGGAGCAGACCAGGGCCAGGGCCGGGCTGGCCGCCCCAGGAAGCGCCCTCCGGAAGCACTGCGGCAGGGCCTCGCAGCTCGTGTCCTGCACTGTCCACTGCACCACCGTCCACTGCGGCTCCGGCAGCCACTTGAGGAAGGAGCCACAGCCCAGGTTGCCGCAGACAAGGGTGCCCAGGCCTGCAGACTCGTCCTCCCGGGCCTCATAGCCGACGGCGCCGCCCCAGTGGCTGCTGTAGAACTCGATGGCACCGGCACACTGCAGGCCCCCAGGCCCAGCCACCATCCGCAGCCTGGGTGGAGCTGGGGAGAAATGGCCGGGCTGGACTGGAGCGGCCCCACCCAGGGGTGCCCGGGCCTCTCGGGTTCTGTAGGC